CTCCTATGTACCAACAATCTATCTCCAAATAAAAACTAATCTAGTGCAAGTTTAAAAGAAGTGAGAGCCTTCTCAAAACTAGAGACATGCAATGACTTGAAGGGATCACTCAAAGACTGTGCCACAAGGTAAGCAAAATTATAACAGAATTTTTGAGATGATGGAAATTTAGATCTGCAAACACGAAGTAATTGGACCAATATCTTTCTCTGGAACATCTCAAGCTCTAAGTGTGCCAGAGCCACCACGGTGGGGAGACACCAGGGCAGGGCAGGCTCAGCTCCAGCTGAGGCAGGGGATCACATCACTCTCTGCAGCCAGGTAGATTACTGATGCTGGGGGGTGTCATGTGTGTAAACCAGTAAATTAAAGAGGTACAGCACAGACTAATACAAATTAAACTCTGCTGACTTTGGGCACAACAACACTATACACCCCCAAGAATGAAGAGTAACTTTTGCATTTGTGTGTGTTACATGTGTATCATTTTGTTCCCCAAACAATACACGTTTCAGTGATTTCCCTGAGCGAACACACAGTCTGTGTACACACCTAACCTATGAAACCATACATTGACCATTATCTGAATTCAGTCCCTGTGTCTTCTTAAATTGATTTTCAGTTACTCTCTTACAACAAGCTCAGAGCACAGGAAGTACCTAATTTACTGCTGGAATTTTAGAATGCTTTCAAATGAGATGTGTCAGACCTTCTCCTATTACCTTCACTATGAAAATTGTTAAGAAGAGATTGCAGGACATAACACTGTTTTATAGCAGAAATACCTGTTTGGCCCGAGGTACAACCATATTACCAGGCAGTATTTTAATAAACAGCTATGCAAACACACAAAGAAAACAAGTCTCGATTGTATCCTAAATATTAAGTAACTGACTGGCTCACTATGGTCTGTGGCATAAAAACCCATCCACATGACATCAGCTGCCAAGGAACACTATGTTTATTAGGGAGAAGACTTGCTGTGGTAACAACCACTGTGAAAAGCTAGTATAAGCCCAAAATTTATTGCTGTACATCTATGACTACTCAAATGATATTACATGATATTTCACCCCCTTAGTATTACAGTATTTATTCCTTATAATTAGAAGCTTCTGACTTCTTCAGCATCAGTTTTCACAACCCTTTAAATCTAGTAATAGCTGTTCTGTACTACTTGTTAACATTCTGAAATACTTCTCATTTCTGCAAAAGTAATTCTGTACAGCAGTACACTAGCAATGCTAAGAATATTTAGCACAGTATTAAAACATCTGATTTAATATTATGGGGCCTGAGTGTCCCCAAACAGCATATTGGCAAATGAAACTCAGTGCATATAAATCTGCCTTGCAAACAGGCATTAAGAAAGCAAACAACTGATCACTACAATTCTGCAATGGGGAATATTTTCTTACAAATATATACTTAATTCAGAGAGTACAGGATGTGTTAATTGTACCCTGTCTTCTAGTAGTTAATACAGCAGTGAATAATTCAACAACTGTACTGTCACTTTGTGTAGCCAAACAACCAGTTTGTTTTTATAAACCATTGTTAGTATTTAGGTTTGGCTTTTAAAACACTGCTGGCTCCAGCAGCAAGTTCATACCTCTATAGTCAAGACTGTTAGTGTTTCAAATTCAAACTGATTTATTCAAATATTATCACTTATCTCTAGACTTTTTACAAATATCAAGACACAATTTTTTATCCCCCTGAGTCTTATGGGACAATACCAATGAAGTTATTTTATTCTTTTATTGCTGTCTATTGAAAAAAAAATGCATTCAGAGGCTACATTTAAGAGAACAAACCATTTCTTAGGAATGTTTCTAGTTAACTCACTAATCTACAGATATTTATCTTCAACTCTACCTTCAAAGGGAGAGGGAGTTTTGGAGCTACTGGCACCTAGACTGAATTGTCATCATCCTTGTCCCTTTCCCCAGCCTTCTCTCCCAGCACTGCTTCACTCATCCTGGCAGCACAAATGTGTTTCCCTCTAACTGATACACTCCTGGCTGCTCACACTCTGAAAATATTCCTAATTGCCTCTGTTGCTTTCACTCTTTTGCAGGTCCAAAGCCTAGTTCAGGCTGTGCATGGACTTTTTAGCAACCGTATTACAAGACATGTTGGACAGGCAGGTCTAGAAAACCATTGTTAAAATGCCAGAAAAAAGACAGAAGCATTCAGCAGGGCTCTTCTCACTGCTGCAGCTTATTAAAGCATAATGTCAGGAGATGAACTCCTGCAGATTTAAGTAGACATTCTCTGCATCTGATCCTGTCCCAAGCACAGCCAAAGCAAGAGCAAGAAGGAGGGAGCATGTTCCTCTAGGGGAAAAAAAAAGCTCTAGCTTTGGCTAGAGTTTCTCCACACTGAAGCACAGTCTGACTTTAAGAGCTAGCTGGAAAGGAAGCAGATTCCTCTCTGCTGTGGAGGAGTATTTATAGACGCCACTATAGCAGGGGTTAAATAAAAAGTGAGAGAGGCAGGAGATGGCTCATTCTGAGATATACCAGAAATAGACCAAAGCACAACACGTGGTAAGAGAACATGAATGTACACAGAGGTCCAGGATAAAATACCAACAAGAAACAAACAATTCAATCAATATATACGCTTTGGAATCTTAAAAGATTGAACTACTTTCACCTTTTCTTAAAGTGACAGATTTAGGAAACAAAAAAAATATACAGAAAATTTAGAAATTTTACTTCAAACCCTTAAAGACCTGTAATAAGTTTTGCATCAGGAAGGGTCTTACCTTTCTCTGATAAATGGCAATCCAATCTGTAGTTGCAAACCACTTGTGATTCTTTATGTCATTTACACCATTCTTGAGATTTCCATATCGTTTGGTCAAATCTACCTGGAGTAAATTTCTTAGAAGGTCCTTTAGGTCTGAACTGAAGTGTGATGGGAACCTTACCTAAAATTATACACCCACAACATTAAAAAAACATTTTACACATTTGATTCTTTTCCCCGCGAAGTGAAACAACTTCACACAAAAAGAAACAGTGGGGCCATTT